GAGAGAAAGCGGTGTGGGAGGAGGAAAGTGCTGTGAGCGGCCGGCGTCTCTCCTCCCCGCACCGCTCAGCCTCCTGTCACAGATCGGTAGAGGGCTGTGTGGGCGGAGACAGCTCTCAAAGCTGTCACAGGAGACTGACTAGTGGTGCGGGGGAGGAGTCAGCTGTCAGATTGAGCTCCCCTCCCTGCACCGCCGATCCAGGATGGAGAGCGGTTACAAGCAGTCAGGGATCAGTGGTCGCTGAGTGTTTGTAGATAATTGAGGACAGAGTGTGGTTACTATATCCTCCATTATGAATGGGAAGTGATCTACATCCCCTCGTGTCCATTCATGATTGTGGTTATAGTAAACACACTCCGTCCTCATGTTATGAATGATTTAAAAAAATTAAAAAGTTTATATAAAATAAATAAAATATTTTTAAAAAGTTAGAACAAAAACATTTTCGGTGTCGGACAGCCTTTTTTTTCCATTTCGGTTTTAAAATGTTCATTGGGGGGGGAACCTTTAATATACGTTAAAAAAAAAAGTGTAATAGTTGTACATTGCTGAGCACTCAAAATGGTGATTTAACTCTCCAGCACTGTCCACAAATGAAAAGGAATGACCCTTTAATATCACTGCTTGTTGACACTGTTGGAATCAGAATATGATGTTTTTGTGGTCGGACATTTTTATGTGTTGTCCCAGTGGATCTCCCAAATTAAATTTGGTTCCACCCATGTCAGGGAGACTTCTCCTATGAACCTCCCACCTTGAGCAATGTAGATGTGGGGTCAGGAGGGCTGTTTAGCCCATTAGAGAGAATTCCATCTCTGGCTTTGACTCAGAAGTCACCGGCATATTGTGATATATGTTCGGCCCTTTAGGCCTCATTCACACTACCGCGCATATACGCGCGTATACACACACGTACGTTTGTATTGTACCATATGCAACATATGCAAATAAATGGCTCCATACACATAGCCGCGTATGGAGCCGTATATTTGTGTAGCATAAAAATGCGCAAAAACAGAATGGAACAGAGGTGCGTCTGGGCAGCGTATTTCTGCGTATTTTACGCGCATACGCATGTTCGCGCGTGTATACGAGCGTATTTGTGCGTACAGTTCGTTCAAATTTCTATTAGGAATGATGCATTCTGGGAATGCAAATATTGCACGCACATACGCTCGTATATACGCAATATACAATTTTGCTCTTGCGTTGTGTGTGAATGAGGCCTTAGTGTGACATCAGTCAAATGAGAGTGAAACACCAAGAATGCACAACGACATGACCCCGTTGGTGTTCTAGCTTTGTGAATTGAGCCTATTGGTTGCCATTGTAACTTACATCACCCAATGAGACTGTTTCTGCTTTCAGGGCTTCCTGATAGAGCGTAAACTGCTGCAGCTCCTGTCTCCTCTGGAGAGAGACGACCGCTCCCTCATGAAGATGGACTCCATATTCCGGGTATGTACAACCTTTGCATACCGTCCCCTAATGTGTCACTCCTTCACTTCCCAAACCATTGACACGTCACTGCCCCATTACTACAAAGGGGAATTCTGTACATTTCGTACATTGAGGGGGGAGGGTGG